TTTTCAGGATGGGAATGCGATGCTGTGGGATTTGAACGAAGGAAAACATTTGTACACGTTGGGAGGCAACGATGTGATCAATGCGCTTGCTTTCTCACCAAACAGATACTGGCTGTGTGCTTCGGTTGGAGCCGTTGTCAAGATTTGGGATTTGGAAGACAAGAAGGCAGTGGATGAATTGAAACTGGATGTTATGGGAGGCGCGAAATCGGCCCCTCCTCAGTGCACCTCTCTGGCCTGGTCTGCGGATGGTCAGACACTGTATGCTGGATACACAGATAACGTAATTCGCGTGTGGCAAGTATCTGTTGCGCAAATTCGCGCATGATGTTACCCAAAAAGTTGTTAGAATCCGCCCTTTAATTATGTAAACGATAAAGACATAAAAAGTCAGCTTGCGATATAAACGATGAGTCGCATAGCGAATAAAAAATTATGAAATAAATAAGCAGTATATGATTTTTCTTTTTCTGTTACAAGGACGCTCTCAGGTACGTTCACTCGTACATCGCAGGGATCCATAGATGCAATTTTTTTGCATCTTGAACAATATGCGTGCGTCGTCGTTTATACGCTGAGAAGAGAAAAAACTTTCGATGAAAGTACGTTAAATACAAAGGGGCGAGGGATTCTACGCAGTTGTTGCAAGGCATATAATAATGTCATTTAGGAAATATTCAATTATGTTGAAAAACGAGTAGATTGATTCGGGGATACTTTAAGTGCCATTTTTAATTGACGCGACGGTGAAGAGAGTGGCTTTTTTGTGTCTTATAAGCGAGCTGCATGTTTAATGTGAATGGCGAGGAAATCTATCAGGTGGAAGTGAGGAGGGTAGTGCTGGAAGGACTCTTGCTTCATCCTGGATTGGGAGGTTGTGGGCGGGAGCCTGGGGGTTGCGCGAAGGCAGTCACTCCCCTCCTCATCCGTAGAGGAGAACTGCTCAGTTGATGCATGGCTTCTGTTTTGTTGGCATGTCTCGTGTTTTCTTGAACTGTGGTAAAGAAATTAATAACTTCTTATCCCAGTTAATTGTTGTTTTTACATGATTCCAACTCTTCCTAACGCTGTACTGTTAAAATTTTTCATCACAGATAAATTTACAGTTGCATGCTGTCCAGTA